TATTTTTTTTGGCATTTTTGCCTTTATTATGACAGGACAGATCACAGTCGGGACTCGAACTCGGGACACCCATAGTGTAACCGGCGCTGTATGTCGGCACGCTGCCCACAAGGCTACCGGCGCCGACAATTATATATTGTTGATAGTGAAAAAAATATTAATTTTTGCGTTAGGAAATTAAGCATCCTAAAATGAAATTAAAAACAAACAGACTGCAATACTTATTTGTTGAGGGTATGAGGGTATTGTACAATAGGGTGTGTGGTGGGATTTGGGGCCAAAAACATATAGCTTTATTTGTTAAAAGTGAGGGAATACAAATGTAAGAATCTGTTATGACACATGAAAAACTGAGGTGAACTGCACAGACCTGTCAGAGTAATGCCATATTTAATTTTTGACAGGAATGAAAACAAGACTGTGAGGAACTGAAAATTACGTGATATGGGCCCTTTATATGGTGTGTGCCATTGTAAAAATGTTAAGTCTATCCATCACTGCTGTGTTAAATTCAATATGGCATCTAACCTGACTACTGGCCGTTTGAGGTTAACTTGATGGCATCAGTTTACTCACTAGATTAAATTGTTTTAAGTGAATGGGTTCTAACTATTTCAAACTATGTGTGAATGTTGGCATGTCTCTAGTTCTCGTAACCAAGTGCTGCTTAAAACATTTAGGTTTAAGCAGCACTGTCCAATCCTGGTCCTGGAGGGCCACTTTCCTGCAGAGTTTAACTCCATCCAGCCCCAACACACTTGCCTAGAAGTTTCTAGTAATACTGAAGACCTTGATTAGCTGATTTAGGTATGTTTAACTGTGGCTAGATCTAAACTCTGCTAGAAGGTGGACACCTCTGCTTCAGATGCTTTGGTTTAGTGGCAATTTCGTTAATTAAAACTACGATGAAAAGTATTCATTGATGACATTTTTTCCATGACTAAAACGAGACATGATTACAAACTAACTGTGATTGTATCAACATGCAATATTGTTGACAGAAATGACAAGACCAAAATGTAGTTTAAAAAAATAAAAACTCTATATCCAAAATTTCTCTGTATTTTCTTTCGGTGAGTGTTTGTTGTTGTTTTAATAAAAAGATGTGAATATAATTTTGAGTTCGTGGAACTGATATTAGAAGGAATGCCATTGTTTTAGCTTTTGAGAGAAGATTTTGGGTTTTACCAGTTTTCATAAAGTAGAGATTATATTTGTTTATGATATGAGTTATGATAAAGGTTCACAAAGAGGTCAATACATACTTCAGCTCAGGACATACTTTTGGAATCCACATTTAAATGGAATCCAGACAATTTAAAATCGAAAACACAGACTTTGGTTAAAATTAAACTGAATTTGAGGAAAAATAAATAAATAAAATGTATTTTTTGTTAAACTTTTCAAAAATTCCTGTTAAATCGTGTAAGTTAACCAGATATGCTTTTTGATTAATAAAATTTGATTTAACCATTAAATCAGAGTCCAGAAAAATTTAAATGAAAAGAAAAAAAAATGTAATCCAATCCACAAAATTTTGAAAACAAACAAAAAAAAATGAATTCAGAAAAAAATGAAACGAATTTCATAGGACCCTACATTCATTTTAATAGGAATCTGTGCGACTGGGAGTTCCACGCGAGGGCAAAAAAAGTTCAAGTTGGTCATGTGAATTCGCCACACTGACCAACAGGAAGCTGCTTGGTTTGAAAGTCACTTATCCTGCTGGAGACATACCCAAATCTCTTGGTTTTCGTTACTAAGTTTCCTACAAAAAGAAGCAGTTAATGTAAATCTGATAAAAGAATCCTCACCCAGCCCCCTTGCTCTGCAATCCAGTATGTTAGACGGTTGTTGACGAATCCCATCATAGCGCTCTCAACTACACTCGTCATGTCAGGGCAGTTTTTCTTCATAAAGAGTCCCAGTGTGATGGCTGCTTTGAGAAGCTGCTTCTCTGAGGCCACTTCTGCTCTTTCCACAACCCACATCTTACACAAGCTGTCCACACTATCACTGAAGGCAGTCACCACCTAGAGGACACACGTGTCAGAGGCTACAGTTGTGGTCAAACATCAAACACGTGGTTACTGTGCAATTAGGCAAGGCTTAGCTATCCGACCCAAACAGGAAATACTTCATACATTGAGACTGCTCAAGAAGTTTCACTTTTACTAGTTTCAGGGAAGAAAAGGAAACTGGAAGATTTCAACAGCACTGCTTTACAGCGGCCTATACAGTAATTATGAGTGGACCAGGAACAAAGTAGCACTGATAAAATATCCAATCTTCACAAAGTGACACAAACGTTGTCACCTTCAGATTAGTCAATCGGTGTCTGAAGATGAACAGTTTGGACTCGACTAACCTGATCGGCTGCAGCTTTCTGTACATTCTTCATCAATGGCTGGATCACTCTCTCATCATAATCGTCACCCAGTTCCCTGAGCTTTGAGGCTATTTTTACAGGGTCAAATGAGTTCTCTGCACAACAAGTAGCTTAAAATTAATTTCTGAAAGCCTTGGTTATTGTGCACTTCCATGTTTTTACAAAATACAAGACAAAATAATGTCAAGAGAGGAACATTTAAGGATGCTGTCATAATAGCAGGTTTTTAAATTGTGTACATAATTTTTAAAATCATTTTAATAAAGTGTAATCGCTAAATCAGTGTTTCAATTGCGTATCGTTACATCAATAAAATCAGCTTGTAAATTATGTCACATAACGTTACATTTACCTCAGAAAAGCCACTCAATCTTGAAGGTAACGTTAGTTAACCAAAAACAAGTAGGCCTAACTCTAGTGAGGAGCATTTTAATCTATACATTCACTATTACATATTCACTATACTTTTACTTAAGTGTTACCGTATGTAGGGAAAAATCTGTCAGGAAAACATGTTACGAGGTTTATGTAGCCTATATTTGAACGTCGTACTGGAGTAGAAACAATTTTATAATTAATAGGTTGATATACGAACTGCCTCGTGTGGCTTTTATTTGAGTTATGATTCATCTAAAATCGATGTGTTTCGAAACCATGGTTAGCTAACCCAATGAGTCAGCTAATTACATGCAAGGTGTTAAGCAAGTCATTGTTTACACATATGTTCTTAAGGGACATTTTCATAGAATGACTCGAATAATGCTCAGAAATCAAAGACGAACACTTACCATCTTCAGCACCATCAGGCTCCACCACATCAAAATATAGTTCATTTTGTAAGAGGCAGTGTATGACGTCGTATGTTTGTTTCTGAATTTCAGCTGCCGCCATTGCGTTTACCGGTGTTAAAACATTCAGATCCTGAGACATTTGGTTCCACTGGGTGGCGCCTGTATGTATATTCATATTGTGGCCGTGTGCTTGAGACAACGGGCAAACTAATGGGACTGAAAATAATAAAACAACGCTCCTCAAATCTCATTGAGCAACCGCTTCTTTCCTTGTTATAATTTAACTAATATTTTTATACCCTACAACATATTTTGTTCTGAATATTCTTTAGAATATCGGTGTGTGTGTGTGTGTGTGTGTGTGTGTGTGTGCACTTGTACAGCTATCTTTGTGAGTTTTAGACCACAATCTTTTTGTGAACAAGAGTTTTAGGACAATCTTGTAAAGTGAGGACATTTTGGCCGGTCCTCGCTTTCTATGAGCCTTTTAAAGGCCTGTTTGAGGGTCAAGACTTGGTTTTAGGGATCAGGTTATAATTGGGTAAAGGGTAGGTTTAGGGTAAGGGTTTGGGTGAGGCACTTAGTTCTGATTGGTAGGTTTAGGGTAAGGAGCTAGAGACTGCATTGTGTCAATGTATGTCCTCACAAAGATAGCTATACAGAGTTGTGTGTGTGTGTGTGTGTGTGTGTGTGTGCGCAAGACAAGTGTGAGACAAGAAATGCTATACCTAGCTTCTTAGAAGATGATTTGAATTAAATACTTAGAAACGCATCTAGGGGGGACATAGTTGGACACCTTAAATGGACACATATCTTGAGTATGCATTATGATTGGATGAGATAGAAGCATCCTGATTTGATTTGGGTATAAATATTTGGGTCAAGGTGTAGGTCGCTCTCTGCAGTCAAGTTGGATTACTGTATGCCTGTTGAGCTTTTC